ACTTCTAAGGAAGAAATATGTCTAGGTTTCTTTAATTATAGTACAACACTCATCTTCAAAAAAAAAAAAAAATCTAAAGAATTCCAAAAAGTAAACCCTCAAGTACCCACATTACCAAGATTACCACCACCACAGTTACTACGAGATCTTGATGACATTTTACTTCTTCTTTTCCCTTCTGTTATCTACAATGAAAAGGTTTCCTCTGAGGAAAGCTTTGTAAGACACTGCTCATTCTCATTTGTCTGAGATAATTTGGGTATCATTTCTGATAAGTGGCATGACAAAATATATAACCTTGCAGCTACTATCAACTGCAGCATTCTGTATGGGGCTGAATTAAGCACTTCTAGCACTTTGTCCCAGGATGCTACATCAGGAATAAGGAAATGAGTTATTTTTCTATTTTCTTCTATTTTCTATTTTTCTATTTTCTTAAGTCAATGTATTCATACAAATTGTGGATATATATGAATGAGCCCCTATTTTATACAAAGAGCTATTTATTTTCAATTCAGAAAAGTACTAGAACATACATTCTAAGTGATTAGGTTCTATAACATACCTACTAAAAAAATCATCAATTTGGAAGCCCAGAAAATATAGGCATAGAATTTTGATCCAAAGATTACAGCTAATAAAGCTGATAGCCTATCATCCAATGACTACCTTAGCAAGGAAATGCTCTTTTGGATGAATTTCAGTTGTTTTTCCAGTAAGTGTGAGGACTTTATCCTTATATATTTAACACTACCTTGATAGGTGATGCCTATTTCTTACTCTGGTGAATTTATGAAACTTTTATTTTATATATTACATGCTGGCATGACTAAACTGTCCTTTAGAAATTTCACACTCTACTGTCACTGAGTACTGCATCACAGTGTGACTTATCAGCTAATAATTTAGTTTCTGAAAGGTCAGTGTGGTGGTTAATGTTACGTGTCATCTCTGGCTGGTAAAACAGTATTTTGGAGTGGGTCTGTGCAGGGATTTCTGAAAGAGATTGGCAGTAAAAAATAAAAAAAAATCCACCACTCTAATCAACATGGGTGGGCATTATCTAATCTGTAGAGTGCCCAAATAGATGAAAAGGTAAAGGGAAGGCAAATCCTCTCTCTTCCTGACATCCACGTTTTCCAGCCCTCAGACATCAAAGCTCTTGGTTCTTGGACCTTTTGATTCCAGGACTTTATGCCATTGGCTCCATTGGTTCTGAGGCCTTGGGACTCACAATGAATTATACACTGGTTGTCCGGGTTCTCCAGCTTGCAAACAGCAAACTGTGAAAAACTTCTAGGCCTAGTACAGTTAGCATCTCTGCCATCTTGATCCTTATTCTATTTTACACCAATGGTAAAAAGTGTACAACATCAACAGCTAATTCCTGTTGCTTCCTTATTGTGTGCAAGACACTATCTGATAAGCATTAACACTGATTATTTCACTTGATCTTCAGAACAAATCTATGATGTAGGGAACATTATAGTTCCTATTTTACAGATAAAGAAATTGAGGCACACAGAGGTAAAATAGCTTGCCTGAGATCACACCACTAATAAACGATAAAAATAGGATTCAGGTCAGGTGAGACGCTTCTGGAAGTAACAGCACAATGGCTGCCCAAGGAGAATCCCAAGTCCAGTCCAAACTTGAATTGGTTGGCAATGATGGCAGAGAAAAACTATCAGCTGACGGGTGAATCTGAGATATACATAATCACTTTGGGTGTTGGGGTCCATCCCCTGGTGTTCCATACCAACAGAGGACCTTAAATTCAATGTATGGGATATGGCCAGTCAGGAGAAACTTGGTGGGCTGAGAGATGGCTATTACATCCAAGCCCAGTGTGCCATTACGATGTTTGATGTAACATCAAGAGTTACTTACAAGAATGTGCCTAACTGGCAGAGATCTAGTATGAGTATGTGAAAACATCCCCATGGTGCTGTGTAGCAACAAAGTCAACATTAAGGACAGGAAACTTAAGGCAAAATCTATTGTCTTCTACTGAAAGAAAAACCTTCAGTACTATGATATTTCTGCCAAAAGTAACTACAACTTTGAAAAGCCCTTCCTCTGGCCTTCTAGAAAACTAACTGGAGACCCTAACTTGGAGTCTGTCAAACTTCTCTCCCTGGTGAGGATGACGACATATGAGAAGGTGCAGCTGGAGCCCAGGGTCAGAAGTATGGTTTCATAGGCAACTGTCTTGTGATGTCACTGGTGCAGGGTATTTGTCACTTTATGGTACAGCTGAACAGAACATGTGCTTCATCTCTGGCATGCTGAAGGAAATGAGTGGGCTTCAGAGTGAATGTGACAGTTTAAAAAACATCTTCATATTGTGAACCTGCATATTTAGCTGTTTTGGAATGCAGTTGTTCCTTGAGTTTCAAATAAAAGACTGTTATAGTCACATCACAGTATCCAGTGGTGAAATCTCATTTGTCACTGTTATTCCCATTCTTTTTTGTATTTCAAATGAAAAAAAAAAATTGGATTCAAATGTATGCAGTCTGTTTCCAGACTTTAATTAAAATCAATGTGTCTAGACACCCTGTAAACTGAGGTCTCATGTTTTTTTTGTTAAGTTTATTTATTTTGGGAGACAGAGAATGAGAGAGGGTGTTAGGGGTGGGGAGCACAGAGGGAGAGAGAGAGAATCCCAAACAAGTTCCGCAGTGTCAGCACAGAGCCCAATGTGGGGCTCGAACTCACAACCTGTGAGATCATAACCTGAGCCGAAGTCAGACACTTATCCAACTGAGCCACCCAGGCACCCCTGAGGCCACATATTTTTCATACAACTAAGACAAGACAGAAACCATTAGGAACAACATGAATAAGGAACTATTAGCTTTAAAATGGCTATAATAAATACTCTATTTGGGAAGAAAAGAAAACAAGAGTTTTAAAACAAAAACATATACAACAGACTAGGACCTTATTCATTAAAACTATGTCTACAAAAAATTTAAAAATAAAATAAAATAAAATCAAGCTACACCTACATGATGAGGTATAATGAAAAAATTTTAACATTTTTCTAAGATGAGAATCCATTTAAAAGATTTTGCATGTACATGTTTTTAAAAAATGCATTATACACCTAAGTAGAAGCCTTACCACTATTCTACATAATTTGACTTAAAAACCTTTATCACTTGTCTACTATGCACCCTGATACAAACAAGGTAACTATACATGACCTCTAAACACAGTAAGCTCATATAAGTGAAATATATAAAATAAAAAACAATAATGTGATAAAGAGTAAAGGAGCTATTTACAAAGTAGAAGAGTAGCACAGTGGGCTAGAATGACTCATCCTGCCAGAGGGGGCAGAAAGAAAAGTAAAACTTCCAGAAAAGACAACATCCTCAGCTAGCACTTAAATGTCATCTTGGCCAGAGACTTGAATAGAGAAAACAGTATGTATAAAGGCACAAAGGTGTAGTTAGCCTCATACAACAAGTCGAGAGACTTCAAGGAGGTGGTATGGTTGCAGAATAAAATTCAAGGCAGGAAGCAGGGAGAGAGGACCTGGAGACCAGCTAATCCTAAAACTCCATTAGAAGCACTCAGACTCAGGTTGAGGGTCCACTAGAGGGACAGGAGGACTAATAACCCTAGCACCTACACATCCCTGAGTTGTGTTTCTACCATCAAAAATAAACATTCAAGGGCAGTATTTCCCTAAATTTTGCAGTGAACCTCTTCCCATCATGAACTAAAAAAATTCTAAAAAAAAAAGTATTGTAGTTTCTAGTTAATAAAATTACATAGCATAATAATGCCATAAACCTTAAAATCAGCAAATTTTGGTTTACTTTTAATTTATTGGCAAGAAATTCATGAAATATTACAATAATATATCCTTTTTGTTGGAACAATCTGAAATTATTACAGCTTAGTTCTGGGTCTAATCTTAAAATGGCTTAAATTCAAACTATTATAGAAAGGACATAAAATAACTCGGAAGAACAGGAAATCATTTGACTGATAATACAATAGTAACAACACCTATCCTTTCCAAAGTGCCCTACATTTCCAAACCCTTTAGCAGTTACTATTTTGTTCCTTTAATAAGTTTATTATAGTGGTGTCATTTCTTTCATGAAATGCAAGAAGCAGAGACAAAAATCAGGCAGAGCACGAGTCTGTTCCTACTGAATAAATCATCTAAGATCAAACTACTGTGTCAAGTACATGAAGTAATATCCTATGTCTATTCTCTAAGATACATGTAAGAAGCTACACAACACTCAGGTCTAAGATAGTTCAGTAAAAGTAACACCAAGGTGTATTTTATACAGGCCTCAATGTGGCTCTTCTGCCAAGGCCATCCACAACCAGATTTGTAAAGACCGTATTGAAAGCATCAAAAAACCACACCTTTAGAAGAGCACTAATGATAGTGAGGGAGGTCCTATGGCAAACTTTGTTTTACTTATCAGACTTAACCCACTCCAGAGAGACAAACTGCATACAGGTGACAGAGTCAGCTTAGTACAAAAGAGTCCCAATGTCAACATAAATATAAATATATATGTAATGTTGATAATGGAAGAGTAAAGTAAAACTGAAGGTTAACGTTTCCATTCCTAGATTAGATCAAGCAAGTTTCCATTACTAAACCACAGTTCAAGATTCTAACTTCTATCTGCAAATTCTCAGAACCAGTAACAATCACTTTTATCCTGGTCAACTTGTTTACAATCTTACTAAAACTGTGAATCGTGGAAGTGCTGCTATCTCCCCTTGGTACTGGTTGCTAAAAGCTTAGAGCCAATTTTGTAGCAGATGAATAAGACTTAACCTGCTCCTCTCTTTCTCGCCTTCACCAACTTCACCTTCATTTTCCTTTTGTCCTCGCTTTCTTTTCTTAAGCTGGATGAATTGTGTATACTTTCTTAAAGTCTTTCTGAAACAAGGAAGAATTTAAAGTAGATAAACTAAAAAAACAGTAACAAAAAAATGAAAAAAACAAATATTACCTTTATATCAAAATTACAATCAAGTCTTCTAATTAACACGATGAAAGTTCCAGATGAATTGTCTTTTAGCGGTGGAGGTACTATGGGTTCACAGGCATTCTCTGGTTTTGAATTAATCAAAAAACCCTGTAAAAGAATTGGCAAGAAGTTTTTTCTTTGTTAAACTCAAGAATTCAGTTCAACTTACTTCTACAAATACCTTTTAAATATGCTTCATGTATTCTGTATTATGCTAGATGAATTATTGGGGAGCTATGACAATTCTTTACCCTCCAAATGTTCAAAAACCAAGGACTTCTAAAGAGTATTTGATTTCAGAAGCATTTAGTTTTTTAAAGTAAGTTCCATTTCTACTTTTAAAGTTTTCTTTTTGATCACACATAAGCCCATCACCCCAAAGACAACCACTGTTAGCATGTTGGTGTATTTTCCAATGATGACTGACATTTCTAAACCAAGTAAATAGTTTTTTAAAAGTAACTTTTACATTTCTTTCATGTTATTAAACAATGAAAATGCACAGCATTTTAGGAATCTGTTCTACAGAAATACTAGCCTGAGTATATAAAGGTGTATGTATAAAGAATCTCCATGCTACACTGTTTTTAATAGCAAAAGCTGGAAATCATAAGGTAGCCATATAAAAAAATATACAATAGAAAAACAACACACCCATTAAAAAGAATGAGGTAAATCTATACACACCAAATTGAGAAGATAACCACAAGATAACTATTAATTTAAAAAGAAAACAGCAAGTCACTTTCCCAGAAATACAGAATGGTTTGCCATCAGAAAATAAGCCAACATGAAATCTTACATTAACAGATTAGAATAGAAAAATCAAATGGCTATCTCAACAGGTGTAATAACTGAAAAAACACAGAGATAAGAAAATTCAGCAAATTTATAAAAGGTAAGCAATTAAAGCTATGACACAGTTTCCTTAACATTAGTCCTAAATGGTGTGTGAAGTGGTCATACCAACCATCTATTATTCCACAGGATGTGGCAATTTCTCCTGCTAGAGTTGCATTGACTGGCTTGTAAAAGGGAATGTTTTTGCAAATGTTTCAGAAATAAAATGCAGTGTAACTTTATTTACTCAAAAAATAGTTCCCCTTCTTGATTCCATAAAGCACTTGGTTTTTACTGTGCAGGGAAATAGAACTGTAGTTATCCTTCCAACAATGAATATTTGCTTCAATCATGTTAAATTTACACCTTCGACCTTTTCTGTGCCTTTCTGCACAAACACTAACTTTTTGTTTTAATGAAAAGTCACAAAATGTAGTTCTTTTCCAGACACTTAGAACATCAATTAAACTCAACCCACGTAGTACCAGCAAGACATATAACTCAACTGAAGTGAAGACAATATGAACAGTTATGGCCAAATTTCCGGTCTTGTGATGTCAATTCCAGCATGACTGCCACCTAGTGGGAGCAGTTGAAAGACACATTCCAACTTCAGAGATGTTAAAACATGGGGTTAATAAAATAAATGCATCTTAGAATCAGTGAATTAATGTATGTACAGATACACAAGAAAAGATCTACAAGTGAAACTAGAAAAGGGTTCTTTTTTTTTTTTTTTTTTAGTAATTTCTATATTGTTATATCTGTTGTGGCAAATGTATTATTTTTAAACATAAAAATCAAATACACATAAACCAAAAGCCCAAAAAACAATCTAGCTGCATTAACAGAAAATTGAGTGAAATCTTTAAAAAAGTTTTTTTCTTGAATTATTAAATATTATCTTTCCTGTGGACTATGCTAAAAGAATAACTTGCTATTAATTCCTATGCTTCCCTGAGATGTGAGTCACTTAAAACTAAGTTCACACTTAGTTTCTATCATCCACAAGGTATACAAGGTAGTATAATGGGTCTTGTTAATTAATTTGTCACAACTCTCTAGGCCCTTGAATAAGAATATCAAACAAGGTGTTGCCTTAAGCCAGGTCCACATGCCTAGTGTCACCTCCCTGGGCCAATCTTTTCTTATTAAAAAGATGCTGGTGGGGTGCCTAGGTGGCTCAGGCAGTTAAGCAGTTAAGCATCCAACTTCAGCTCAGGTCATGATCTTACAGTTCATCCATCGGTTCAAGCCCTGCATCAGGCTCTGCACTGACAGCTCACAGCCTGGAGCCTGCTTAGGATTCTGTGTCTCTTTCTCTCTGCCACTCCCCTGCTTGTACTCACTCTCTATCTATCTCTCTCAAATATAGATAAACATTTATTTATTTATTTTTTAATTTTTAAAAAAATTTTTTTTTAATGTTTTATTAATTTCTAGGAGAGAGAGAGCGCGAGCAGGGGAGGGTCAGAGAGAGAGGGAGACACAGACTCCGAAGCAGGGTCCAGGCTCTGAGCTGGCAGCCAGCACAGAGCCCAACGCGGGGCTCGAACCCACGAACCGCGAGATCATGACCCAAGCGAAAGTCGGACGCTTAACCGACTAAGCCACCCAGGCGCCCTGATAAACATTTAAAAAAGATGTTTACTCTGTAATAAAAGATCCTCATCATTTCTGCCTTCTGACAGTGGCACTTTATGCCAATGTATAGGAAGCCCAAGAAAACTACCAGTGCCTAGGAGACTTAGGACCAGATGTCCATCTCTCCTGTCTTTGTTGTTGTAATTCCCTGATGTTTAAACAACGCCAGACAAAAATTGTGCACTCAAGACTGGCACCTCAGTATCATCAAATGTATAATGCAGTAGGCTCACTACATATATATGTTGATTTCTTTTGAAATCTTTTGACTATACATAAAAAAAGTGCACAAAATATAATTTTCCAGTTTGATGAATTTTCACTAACTGAACACACCTGTACCAGGAAATAGAACTCCGGAAGTTCCCTCCGTCCTCCCTGCCAGTAACTAGTCCTCAACCTCCATTCCTAATGTTATCACATAGACTTCTAACAGCTTGATTTTTGCCTAATTTTACACTTGAGATAAATAGAACCATACAGTACAGCAAATGGTCTTTTAGACTTCTTTCTCTCACTGCTGTATCTGTGAGACTCATCCCTACTGCTGAGCAACCGTACTGTTGAGACTTTTGGCAGATCTTTCACTGCCATTTCTATACAGTATTACATTGTGTGATATGCCAACATCTATTCTACTGTTGATGAGCATTAGGGGAACTTCCAGTTAGGAGCTGTTACAAAGACTGCTGTTATAAACATTCCACGGACATTAACACATGTACACATCTGTTAAGTATATACATAAAAGTGGAACCATAGGATAATCAAGCTGGATCAGAGCATATCAAGCTTTAGTAAATCCTGCCAAACAGTTTTCCAAAGTAGTCTGGGATACCACTTTTTAGCTAGAATATTCAAAAGCATCTAAACATAAAAATTATACTGAATACAACTTTGCTTGAATGCTTCAGGAGTTATTTAGAACTATAATATTTTAGGATAAACATGGAAAAATCACTTTTGTTGATAAATTATGCTGGTTAATAAAGTCATAGACAATTTGATATGGTGGTTTTGTTTAAAAAAAGATTGTGTCAAGCTGAAAAGAGCCTTAAACTTTCCTTCCTTTCAGCTTGCACCAATGCTAAGCTATATAAATAGCAAAATTAAGAAGAGTATATGTAGTTACAATGTCAACAAAAATCTTGAAAGCAAGGCAGCAGTATGACTTTCTCTTTGTAAGAGTAAAAAATAAAAGCAGAACGAGAGAGTCAGAGAAGGGTGAGTTATTCTGTTAGTGTCTGAAGTTGTAAATTAACTAATTAATTGTAGTAACAGCAAGGAGTTAACACTTGTTGAGGCTTAGCTCTCAACACTGTGTGTCAGGCACTAGGCTCTTTTCATATTCTAAATCAGTTAACCTATGCCATAACTAAAGGAGATAGCTATTATTATGATTATTATCCTTATTTTAAAGATGAGGAAACTAAGTCTCAAAAAGGTTAGGTAACTTGTCCAAGGTTACACAGCAGGCATGCAATCCCAGGAAGTTCTCAACCACTAAGCTATACTCCTGTAAGAAGACAAAACAAAACAACCTCGACTAGGTGAAAAACAAAATGGGCAACAAAAAGAAGAATGAACATTTACAAAAATGAACAAGCCAAAATGTTAGTATAAAAGGCAATTAAGGCTAATTCCAAAATCTGATATAAATACTTTAAACAACGAAGATGTCAGGGGCACCTGGGTGGCTCAGTTGGTTGGGAATCGGACTTCGGCTCAGGTTATGATCTCACAGTTCATGGGTAGGAGCCTCACATCAGGCTCTGTGCTGACAGCTCAGAGGAAACTGACAGACACAGATTCTGTGTCTCCCTCTCTCTCTGCTCCTTCCCTACTCAAGCTCTCTCTCTCTCTCTCTCTCTGTCTCTCAAAGATAAATAAGCACTGAAATAAATGTTTTAAACAACGAAGATGTCAAAGGAAACTTTGTCATAATTTTTACATTCAGATGTAGACCAGAGTTATACTGATCAGAGTTTATTAGCTAACATTTTCCTAATGTGAGTGAGAGAGATGGATTTATTTCAATCAATAACTTTTTACAATGTTAAAAAATATCCACTGCTCTTTCCTCAAATTCGTTATTAGATCATTCTTTCAAAATCTGTCCGTTATTTTCACATACAGGGTACATTTAATTTCTTTTTCACAAATGGTTGGAGATTGTGCTCTTCTTATGCAATAAAATATCCTTTAACTACTATTCTTATCATATTATTTTAAATTCCTTTAACAGTACTCTGAATACACTGGTCACATTTCATCGTAAGTAAGAGGATGGATTAGACTGAGTGAGTCCCTAACCAAGTAATTAAAATCTGGAAAGAACCAACAGATCCAATAAGAGAAAACAAAGTATAAGCAACATATAGTATAACTGCATAGAACAGAGAAAGCCATTCTAACTATGGAAGGCAGTAACAGAAAAAGTGGCATTTGACTTGGTTGTTACACTTTAATTTGGGGTCAAACACTGAATATACTATTATATATAGAAGGTATATAGTAGGGTGTTAATGGAAAAACCAGTGTAATGTTAAAGAAGTCTGTACTTTATTTAATATATTGTAAAAATATTAATTTCTTAGATTTGATAAATGTACCACAGTTATATA